TCTAAAAAGGGTAATTTGTGATTAACCTGCTTTTCCATAGTGAACCTGATGTTGGGGTGCCTAGAGTTGATATAGTCGAAAAATATAGTGGCATCGTGCTCTGAGTGAAATAAACAAAAAGTTTCATCAACATACCGGCAATAATGTATATGATTTAATAATAGTATATGATATCATGAAAAACGCAATGCTTAGGTCTGAGTTATCTTTGAAAGAAGTCAAGTCAGTAGAGAACTGTGGGGAGGGTAAGAACGTAAAAATACTTGTGGAGGGAGGGGGAAGGGTTAAGAATCCCTTTCGTTGCGTATGTTCGTTTGATTTTTCAAACTGCCATCAGTGAACTCTTCTACAAAAAATAAAATTCGTAAAAACCAAATGAAATCATAGTGACATCAGGTGTTGGTCCAGGAAAGCTCTTGACCTTGCGATTTTTGCCGAGCGCTTTGAGCCATTGCGATCTTTTTAGTAATTGGGCTTTCTTCTCAATTTTAACAGACAAATATTCGTTTTGACAATATGACATAGACTACCCTTCACAAATGAGCAGTGTGTTACCAAGAAAATGGTCTCCTTCGCAGCCGTTGTTTGGCTTCGTCACAATGGGAGAGAGACCGTTGCGTGATGGGACCTAACAAAGGCTGCGATTAGACGGTCATGTGCCGGGACAAGTGACTAAACTGAAAGTCATTTTCTATGAAGCTAGAGAGTGGTTAGCGGAAGTTATTCGGAAATCGTCTTTCAGTTTCTTGGGAAAGATCAGCAATTGTCAGCAAACTTCGATGTATAGTCAGGATCCCGTAAGGAAACAAGTTTGCAGTGATTTTGTTCAAAGTGGGATCTGGTTGATGGCAGATTGATTGCTTTTCTTTGCGCAGCCCGCTTGCCCCGATCGACATTAACACATGGAGCAATGCAGCCTAATAAAACCAAAGTGTTTGCTTTTCCTGTTCCTTCTGGGTTTAGGCAGACTTAGTCCCACAGTGTCTTCTATTGATGAGTCAAACGTGGCGAGTTATGAAGTAGAGAGGAGGTCCAATGCCGGTGACTTGTTTTATGTAAACACGATAAATGTTAGTCAGTGTCAATTAAGCGGCTGGTGCAGTAAGTTTGGACCTGCATATTCGGCGGGGGGTACAAATTGCGGCTGTACTTGTAACTCTGATGTTTCATCTTTCCTCCCGTCGTTGAGGAGGTGTCTAAAAGGAAATCAACTTCTAGAAAACCTTGAAGGTGATTACAGCATTTTCACAAATCCCATAATAGTATCAAGCATTTCGTCTACGGGTCTTTTTGAGGGAAGGGGGTGGTAGGGGAGGGCGTGGAAAGGGAGGTGAAGGTCCAAGTAATTGTGAAGAATAGCATTCAGAAAAAACACGGGAGTGTGACATTCTTCATCAAAATCCTAGTGAAATCACTGGCCTTATGCTTCCAGTATTGCATTGTAATTTAGCATACATTTACAAATCCTCTGCTTGGTGGTGAAGTTACTTGGGTTAACCCAGTGGGATCAGGATGAAAATGTTTGTAGTAACAGAATGGCAGGATGGAATGAAAATAGTGGTGGGATGGGGATTGAAAAGTCTATTTTGGACCCTCTTTTTGATGAAGTACCACATGCATTCCGCATGTTGGTATATATACTCAGTGTACTGTTGCATAGTACAAATCTGACTTTGATCAATTTTGATGTTTATAAATCCTTTCTTTAAACAGGTTGTCCAAAAGGTACATACCAAAATTTGTTTGGTACTGCTAATAACCCTGTCTTTAAGTTTGCTGTTAACCTTACCAGGAGAATAATAAAGACAACATCAGCTCGGGGAAATCAGCTCAATTGTAGCCTCTATGGATATTTTTTTGATTATGGTGGTTTTCATGCTAGTTGGAAACATGTTCTTGAAGGAATCTTTAAGGTTAATAAAAAGGGAGGTGTATTTAAAATAAAGGTGAGACAATTGATTATTCAGTTTACAAATTAATATTTAATAGTTCTGCCTTGAAA